AAAATGTTGAAATTTCTTGAAATATTAAACAATGAAAGAAGTAAACTTGCAGCTATGCGAAGCTTTTTATGAGATCTCACTTATAAGTTAGGCTCGATCTTTATAATATTTTGGCCTTATATACTTCTGAAAACGAGTTTTTCTTTAAACTATATACTATAAGTAAATATGATGGACTAAGATCGGAATGTGGTATACGGAAGCATATATGTATACCTTTTCAGTTAGGCCTGTTCCAATCTTTATCTGGAAGCCTCTTATGTTTCAAATAAATATGTAAATCATACTTTCAGGCTGCATTCAGAACATGTATACGCCACGTTGCGCATGGAACCAAATGCATTAACAGAGTTGCGCTTATGGGCTGTGGCCGTTGCCCAAGCAGTTTAAATCAACAACAAATGTTAATAGAACTGTTGACAAAGGCAGCAGGAACAACAACTGAAGTGCGCACTGCAAAAATGAAAGCGAGGGGTGAAAGTAAACGCTGTGTGGAGGCAGAGCAAACAATATGCCCGGGCAAATAGCAGCAGCCGTAGAACTGAGCCCAGTTTTGGGCCATGTGCCCAAACTGCAGCTGCAGCGGCAGCTGACCACAAGCTAGGGGCGGCAGAGAGAAGGAAGCCAAGCCCTCGACATAATCCGCAGGGTTTGGCCCCTTGAGAAATAATGCTTAGCTGTTTTACTTTGTTTTTATTTTTTCTTTGCGCCTCTCATCGCCCCTTGTAATTTTTATGGCATTTTGTTTGCTTTCTTTAATTTTTTCTCTTTTTTTTTTTTTGCTGGCCAGAATCCTGGGAAAGTCTATTATGCTTACGAAAATTGCTTTACAGCTGCGGCAGCGGCTAGAAACAATGCAGCAAAGGTTACACAGCATAAAAGAAATACACACAAAAATGAATAATGACAGTGGAGGGTGAAACTGAGGACTGGGCAGATAAGGGGCAGATTACTTTTCGCTAAGGACCTTGGCAACAGAATTCGCTATCAAAGTCTCAGCTGCGGCTGCAGCTAGTGAAAATATTTGCGCAGCCTCAGCGGGCGTGGCGGGGAAATGGGCAAGCCAAAAGTACAGTTAAAATAATTTGCGCATAATGAAGCCGGAAGTGTGAACGCAAAAACAAGAAAAGTACAAGAAAATGGAACTTCATTATCAGTGGCCGAGCAGTGGCAGCGGTGGCATCAAAAGAAAATTACACAAAATCTCCGGCAGGGTTTTCTAATTAAAGTTTCAACGGCGTCGACGCCAAAGTGAAATTAATGGCGTTGCCATTTTTGCCAGCGGTACGTTGTTGCTTTTGTGTTTATTTCGCTAGCTGTTGCTGCTTACTGGCCTTTTTTCGTTGATGCTCAGCTTTATGGAGTCAACGGCTGCTCTTTGGGCACTTAATCTGAAGCTCCTCTCACGGCCCAGTCCCGAGAACCCCAGTACAGAGTCGCCTCAAACATCTTTGCCCGCAAATGTGTGTAATTTATTTGCAATCAATGCGTCCTGAAAGGACATTATTTTTACATTATAGCAGGACGAGCGAAACTGCTTTAGACTGAAATAGATGGAAATAGAAGCGTGCGTGAGTATACGCCTCACACACACACACAAGCCTGGAGTGGACGTGTTGCCAAAGCTACGTCAGCAAACATTTGGCAGCTGTCACTTAATATTCCGTATACCCTCTAGCTGGCTTCTATGCAAGGTATGCTCATCTTAATAACAGTTATGAGCCAGTTTTGACAAAGAATTTGTAATTGTCAAACATTAAGCATTCAGCCAATTAAATGGTATCAGCTTGTCTGTTTAACCAGTTGATATAATATAATACTTAGGTTATATTTATAATTTTACAGAGGGTTTTATATATTTATCACTTAATGTGCAACGTGTTCAAGGAGGCCTGTCAAAACTTTTTGTCTTGAATAGGTCCAGGTATTTTTGTTCAAATTTTAATTTTAAAAATGCAATATTTGTTTTCCATTTTTTCTTATACGGTTTATAAAAAATCAAAATCTTTCTCCCATTTTAGGTGAATTATTTGAAAGTTACATTGAACTTTCGGCTAGATAATCTATGATCCTTAAAGTTCAAATGAAATTTTAATGAATTTTCACAAAGAACCGAGATCAATCGAAAAAAACGTTCTTTCAAAATTTTACCACATATTTTTTATATTGGCGAGTAGAATTTTCCAAACCTCCGCAAGTCCCAGATAGATATAGAGTTCAATAGTTAGTAAGGCCAATGTTGGTATTTTGCTGTGTAAGAATACTTATATTGCATTCATTAGGTTCAACCAACAATCTCGAACCTGCTCTTCTTCTGTAAGTCACTGGCAACCAGCTGCCACAAATCTTTTGGTGCAGAGCAAAAAGTTTCTCGAACCCGCGGCACGTATCGTGTGTCATACGCAGAAGCGGCTTAAGAAGCAACGGCAACTGTGACTGCGTCTGCGACTGCTACTGCAACTGCAACTGCAAGTGCAAGTTGGCAACTGCATGGAACGTGCCACTGGCAGTTGGCAAATAAAATTATTAACCTCGCTGCAATGCAACATAAATAGGATTAGTGTCTGCAGTAAATGCACAACAGCAACAACTGCAGCAGCAGCAGCAAAAACAAAGGCCTCAACAAAAGCGACAAGAACGAATGTAGTGTGTGTGAGTGTGTTGGTGTGTGTGGGGCAACATTTGCATTTTGCATACTTCACGGTGTCGTCATGCTCATATGATAAACGGAATGGCAACGACAATGCCTCACACATGTGCCCCATTGTCTCCCGTCTCTTCACAGTGCCTGCGCCTTGTGTTGTCTGTTTGTGGCCCGCTCGACGGTTCTTGTCTGTGGCGCAGAAAAATGCGGCTGAGTATTTTAGCAACATGCAAAAAGTTTATTCCGTGCGCCGGCGACGTCGCCGTCCAGTGTATTGACCCCCAAAGGGCCCACACATGCATTAGTCACAAGCCCGACCCTACCGCAGCCCCCCTGCGGACTCTTCTCTTCCTGTCCGCCCGTTGACTTGTCGCGGTTTTTGCAAAGCGTTTGTTTGCTTTGCGGCTTCCGGTTTTGTTTCGAATCCGTTTTACGGATAACTGCATAACCGCTTTAAAATATTTTCGTTGTGTTACCAGCTGTACTTTTGCCAGCCAACTGTTACCATTATTGCCAAACCGGGCTGGCAGCATTTGTGCGGCTGCCATTTCGGGCTGTCAAGAGTTTTCAGAGTGCAAACATTTCAATTAAGCGCGAGCAGTATTAAATATCGCCATATCATCATAATTAAGTAGCCGAAGCCCTGAAATGCCGTGCAGAATGTGCATCCCAGTCTGTCACGTGTTCTGTATGCAAATTGAGAATAAAGTGATTAAAATGCCGCCGATTTTCCATTCAGTTGGGGGAGTGCATTTTAAAGATGCCAGTTCGCATTTCCATAATTAACACAATTGAGAGTCACATGTTTAAGCTGTTATTCCAATTAAAATGTGTCACTTGTGTTACATTCATCGATAGCTATAATATAATACTCTTGTAGAAAGTACGATCATTTTACCATCCAAAGTCCCATACAAAGTCTACTTTTAAATTTATTAATTTAAACACAAATAGTTTAATCGAAATATGTTTGTCCTCGCAGGTGATCGAACCCTAGCTGAGCCCGACGCGCTTCTGAACAGATTTGTTTTTTAATCTTTCTCTTCTACTCATTTCTTCTAATTAGCATTGTCTTCTATCTGTGTTCTTACCTTAGCCGGTTTTCTCTCGTAGCTCATATGTGGCAGGTACCAAGGGACTCACAGTTTATCTATTCGTTTTATTCCTCGAACCATATTCATATCTATTCTGTCCAAAATATCTTCATATATATTAAAGCTATCATAAGTTCGACGTTTTCTCAACATACTAGGTTATTATTTAAGTTTTTCATAAATTTTCCCTCAAAATCATCTAAAAAAAGAAAAGTATTGAGTCGCGAGTGTGCTTCCCTTGTTTTCACGTCTTACAAATCGTATCCAAGCTTAATGTACATAATTTTATTATTTATACTCGACGATATTGTAATTTAAGCAAATTCTGAAAAGCTTTCCCAGACATTTGCTCTGCGTTTGGCTGGAAATATTAAAGCGAAATTGCTCAAATGTTGTGCATACGCCCCGTTGGCTGCATGCAAATTTTATATATTAACCGGCAACGGGGCTCAGTGCCTCGCAGTGTTTTGCTTTGCTTACTCTACTTGCATGCTGCTCGTCCATAATTGCAACATGCCGCAAACACAAGCCACGACATGACGGAGCGAACGAGAGAGACACGGAGGGGTTCGACAGGGGGTAAGGACTGCCAGACAAGTCAAATAAAAGCCGCGAGCCTCACGATAAAACCCTAGTCAATTGGCTGCTTGAGAGGAGGCTTGGGGTAGAAATTGAAGCGAGTGCCACGGCTAGGCTGAGCTCGTTGGGCTGGTGTTGTTATGACTTAATGTCGCTGCGCCAAGTGACAGTTATGATGGAAGTACACCGAGAACGCAGGGCTTATTAAAATGTCGCAAATGCAAAGTTTATGGTAGCTGCATTACATGCCTCGCACCATAAAAAGTGGACAGGAGCAGGGGAGAAACAAAGCAATTACATAAGTTGCATGATTTTCTTAGGCAACTTTCTAGACGACTGAAATGAAGGGTTTCAATATGATCGAGGTGGCAGACTAGCTTTAAATCGAACGCATTTGAGCCCGAAATTCCAATTTACATTTGCCTGAACCTATACTCAAGGCTTGGGATATATTTTTCCGAATTATTCCCGGTACAGTCCATATAAAGGGAAATATTGAATGTCGAGGTCGACATCCTTTCGATTATAAGCTACAACTTATTCTTTAAGCGATTTTGTCGACTCGATTTTAAGGTTGCAGCGATAGAGACTGTGCACCTGACCATCATTCATTCACTCACAGAGCTTCTCTTTCACTTTGTGTTACAGGCAACATTAGCTGAGTTCCAGTTGCGATCACTGTCCTAGTATGCGATGGCAGCAGCGACAGCGACGCTGGAGGAGGATCGTGCCCGGCCCCGCGATATAGCTAGCAATAATAGCGCCCAGCAGCGCACGCTGGCCACGAAGGTGCGTCGAAAAGGACGTGACAGGCGACCACTGCGGCGTCTTCATCCGCCCATACCGCTTAGCCAGCTGCTCTGGCTGCTGTGTTGCCTCAGCCAGCTGCGCGCCGAGTGCCCTTCGGTGTGCGAGTGCAAGTGGAAGAGCGGCAAGGAGTCCGTCTTGTGCCTTAACGCCAACCTAACACATATCCCTGAGCCGCTCGACGCGGGTACCCAGCTGCTGGACTTAAGTGGCAACGATATTCAGACTATACCCGATGACAGCTTCGCCTCGGCCCAGCTGCTCAATCTGCAAAAAGTATACCTGGCCAGGTGTAGGCTGCGGATCATTGAGCGTCATGCGTTCCGCAAGCTCATCAATCTAGTGGAATTGGACTTGAGCCACAATCAGCTGTCGGCGATACCTTCGCTGGCCCTTTATCACGTGTCAGAGCTGCGCGAGCTACGACTCACTGGCAATCCCATATCGCGTGTGCCGGACGACGCCTTTGGGCATGTGCCGCAGCTGGTGCGCCTGGAGCTCAGCGACTGCCGCCTCTCCAGCGTGGCGGTGCGCGCCTTTGCCGGCCTCGAGAGCAGCCTGGAGTGGCTCAAGCTGGACGGAAACCGCCTGAGCGAGGTCAGATCGGGCACAATTACCTCGCTAGCCTCGCTACATGGCTTGGAGCTGGCTCGCAATGCCTGGAACTGCAGCTGTTCACTGCGACCGCTGCGGGCCTGGATGCTCCAGCAAAATATACCCAGTGGCATACCTCCCACATGTGAGTCCCCAGCGCGTTTAGCTGGTCGCGCCTGGGACAAGCTGGATGTGGATGACTTTGCGTGTGTGCCACAAATCGTTGCCACAGACACAACCGCCCATGGCGTGGAGGGACGCAACGTGACGATGAGCTGCTACGTGGAGGGCGTGCCCCAGCCGGCAGTGCGCTGGCTGCTCAAGAACCGCTTGATTGCCAATCTGAGTGCGGCCGGCGCGGGCGAGGATGCCGAGGAGCCGCGCACAGCAGCCGCTACGCAGGGCCGTAAAACGTATGTGGTTAACATGCTGAGGAATGCCTCCAATCTGACGATACTCACCGCGGACATGCAGGATGCGGGCATCTACACCTGCGCCGCAGAGAACAAGGCCGGCAAGGTGGAGGCCAGCGTAACGCTAGCCGTGTCCCGCCGTCCCCCGGAGGCGCCTCTCGGCGTGCGCATTGTGCTGCTGGGCGTGCTGGCAGCGCTGCTTTTTGTGGTGGGCTCCTCATTTGCGGCCATATGCTTCTGCTCGCTGCGAAGGCGCCGCAAGCTGCGACTGTGGAACTCGGTGCCGCCAGTGCGACGCAGCGAGAGCTACGAGAAGATTGAGATGACGGCCAGGGTGCGACCGGATTTGGGTGGTGGCGCCAGCTGTGGCGGTGGCAGTGCTACTGGCGCGGGCCTCTTTCAGGATGCCGAGGAACAGAGCTATCTGCGGGCTGCGCACACGCCACTTAACGACCACGATGCGGGGCAGGCGGCCATTGTGAATCCGAGCGCTGGCAATGGCACGCGACGCAACGGCGACTACCTGCATGTGTCCACGCACTGCGACGACGACGAAGAGGACACCCAACAGTCACAGCAGGCACAGCCATCGCAACCATCGCATCAGTCGCAGCCAAGAAAGGGCTCCATGGCGAGCAATGCTATTTCCGCATCCGCAGCGAAAAATTCTGTTGCGGTGGCTGAGGAAACGGATCTGCACATACCGCGTCTGATTGACATCGGCGGGTAAGTTGACCTTCCTCCGCCTCTTCAGCATACCAGCCACTCCCTAACCATTGCTTTTGTTCTCTGCTGTTCGTTACTTCGAGTGGCAATTGTCCTGTTGCAGTCGCCCCGTCAAAGAGCTGTCATACTCTAGTGCGCTTCTCGCCCGGATCCGTTCATATTATGGGCAACACTTGACACTTTCCGCTTGAGTGCTGCTGCACCAACGCCTCCCCCCTCAGCCCACCTCACCCCTTTCATATCTCTTCCTTACCAGTGTAAGGGCGCGTGCTAATGACGCGCGAAATATGCGATGGCTGCCACACGCGGCGTATGAGTATTTTATTTTTGTGCGCCCCTCGTTGATTGGAGCCTCTCATGTTGGGGCAAACGAGCATGGGCAGTGTTCCAAGTGCCTCTCATATGCAATATAATGAATATAGAATATGTGTACTTTATGTGACAAGAAGAAGGGTTGTCTCTGTAGCCAATCCCAAAAATAGATATCAAGCAGAAGAAAAGATTGTTCATTAATCAATAGACTCTGACAGAGCTTATCAAGAAATGAGAAGAGTTTGCAACAGATTTCAGAATATGTGCAACTAAAAAGGATGATGATGGTGGGCAAGGACAATACTCTGGCTATTAATTCGCAGTTAATCTAGCGAAATTATTTCAGAAAAAAAACATTACTAAACAAACCCTATCAAAGTAGAGTCTTGATTAAAATTGGGGCTTAATCTTTATTTTTTTTTTAATTTTTCCATGCAAAATTATTTTGGATCAATGACTATAGATGATATTTATTATTTAAAAAATATGTTTTGGATAATATATTTTTTTCGTCAGTGATTAATTTTGTTATTGGCCAATTTAGACTTTAAAATTCAGGCAGATTATTGGTTAATTTTGAACAAGAAACAAATTTTTTTTGATCAAAAATAGAAACCATTAGTCAATCAATACATTTTGAGGCAAACCGTTTTTACGTATGTTTTATAGTTTCGATGGTTCACTTAGTTAGGATGAGAATTGGTATTCATCTTGCCACAGTTCGCTATGACACATTCGTAATTCCTTTTTTAGAGTTACAGCTTTGAAACAATGCCTGAAGTTTTGATAATTTTAAAAAAATATCTCACAGAAAGAACACAAGTCGTAAGGATCGCATTTGCCTTTTCGCAAGAATTTAAATGTATTTAAACTTGTTTCTTCAAACTTCATCTAATTGCAACATATTCCTATTCAATATGCACTTCACTTTTCAACTTTTACAGCACTGACTCAGCTTCTAGTTCTATATCCAGTAAGGTGGATGCCGCTGCTCGACTCGCTGGCTATGCAGGACACGCTGCCAGCTGGAAGACAACGCCAATAGCAACCACGAAGATCACATCGCCGCACAGCAAATCGACGGCAACAACTCAGGCCACAAGCACGCCCTGCTCGGCCACGCCCTATAGCCACTATGGCAATCACACGGCGGACGAGATGGCCACCTCGGTATTCTGCAGCAGCAATGGCGACGGCCAGGAGAGCGATCTGTTCGACAGCAACTATCCAGATCTACTGGACATTGCCAAGTACGCTGTGGCGCAGGCGGCACAATCGGGCCACACCTATGCGCCAGCTGGAGCGGCCCCAACCAACGGCGGCCTCTGCACCCTGCCCCGGAAGCTTAAGCATAGTGGAAAGTATTTCCGCAACTCATCGGACAGCCAGTCGCCACTGCTGGCGGATAACTCGAGCAAGTACGGCAGCAGCACGCTGGGAGACGGCAGCTTCCTGAACGAGGCCATGGGCCTGGGCAGGCGCTACTCGGCCGAGTCAAGCTACGCGAACTACGCAAGCACCACAACCTACACGGGTGGTGGCCAGCGTGCCAATAGCTTCTTGAACCTGGTGCACAGTGGTGGCCACAAAGGTGCCATGCATGGGCACCATTTGGGCCAGAAGCCCAGCCTGCCTTCGTCGCCTGTGCAGCACCAACGCTCACTAAGCAGCGCGGCGACGCCGCTGCTTGACTTCTCGGCGCTGGCGACGCGAGCTTCAGGCGCGGCTAACTCCTCGGTGGCTGCCTACGACTATCATGCGGCGCAGCTGGAGCGTTTCTTGGAGGAGTATCGCAATCTGCAGGATCAGCTGTGCAAAATGAAGGAGACCTGCGACACTATACGGAAGAAGGAGACGCCACTTCGCGGCGCCATTGGGCAGTCGGCTGCCCAGCTGGCGGACCCTGTAATGTACAGCGCGGCGACTGCCTCGCACAGTCCGAAGCCGCCAACAACGACGCTGAAGGCGAAAACATTGCTGCCCGGCCAACCCCCCGATCCCCCGCCCTATTGGCTGCACCGTAACGCCATGCTGAAGCGCTTGAATCCGGATGCCAATGGCACGGGCAATGGGCCCACAAGCGCCGCCTCGCCACAACCTGGTCAGGATATCTTCAAGAGCTAATCGAACTTGTGTACAGCCAAGGAATAAACCAGAAACCAGAAAAACCTTCGGTGCACCGAAGCCTACATACCCTTGCAGAAGTACCCTCAAAGTTTAACCATTTGGTTTCCAATAAAACCTATTCATCATTTTTTTGTTTTTTTATATATGTGATCTTCGGCTTGTTTCAAAGAACTTGCTTTAGAAAATTTTAAGGATGTCTGCTGAGTTGTTTTTCGAAACTTCAGTTTTCGAAGGGTTTGCCCTATTGAAAGCAAAATTTGATTTATTTTCTAATAGTAGCCACAGCTTTTCAGATTAAAAACATTTTCGATTTTCTTATTTTAATGAACTCTTAGAATTAAACTCTTAAAGTAACCGAAAAAAATGTTTGAGCAATGTTTTATGGGGAAGAGAGACTCAAACTCAACTTGATATACATATGTGATGCCAGTTTGACAAGTTATTGTTAACACTTTATTCGTATAAGCTTTTGTTTTCCAAATGATTTGGATTTTTCATAGTTCTGCAAGGTAATGTCTCTCAATATGAAATTTCTCTTAATTAGGCTTAGGTAGATGGGGCTGTTAACTGGTTATAACGCCAGCCCCTCTATTGTATTATAGAACACACACTTTTCCACTCTTTCTACTCGCTACGCATATTCAACAGTCACATCGTAAGTGTATAGACAAAAGCCCCTATTTGAAAATCCTAACCTGATTGATAATTCCAAGACCCAAAGCTCTCGTGTTAGTCAAACTAAAAGTGTTTTTGTACTTTAAGCGATCTCATTAAAAACAAAAGAAGTAATAATAATAATAAATTAATTAAATACAATATGTATTTTCTAAGTGGAATTGAGTTGGCACTGACTGCAGGCATTGATTGATTGATTGATTGATTGATGTATTGTTTGATTGTTAGACATTTTATTAGAGTTTTAATGAGTTTTTATGATAAATCAAATCAAAGTTGGAAATGTGGGCGTATTTAAGAACGCCAACTCAATTCAAACGAAAAAATTGTAATTAACAATAATAACAGCAACAAGAACAATTTATTTTAGGGTGTCACTAAACTAAAACTCAAAAGACAAAACAAAAATAAATAATAATAAATTAGTTGAGAATTGAAACAAAACACAAAAATGGGAAACAATTCCAAAGCGAATTTTAATGTCTTTCGGGGTGGCTGGGGTGGAGGTGGGGTCAATGACTGGCTCAATCGACAACCGTGCAAATGTTCATTTCCGGTTCGCGCCCTTAATCAGTGAGTGGGTGTGCGAGTGTGTGGTGCATATGGAGGGGCCGCGGCAGGGCTATTTAAAGTAATTGTCGCTTGTCGCGCGACATTCACTGTGCTTTCTCTGCAAATTGCCTGGATATGTGTGTGTGTGTGTGTGTGTGTGTGTGTGTGTGTGTGAATGTGGGCGTGTTTGGCTGCCAAGCCCCGGTCAGCTGGCAAGATTAAACAATAATTTTATGGCATACACACAGAGAAACTCACAAATCGCACCAATTGGTTTTGTGTGAAAATTGCGAACATTTCTTTTATTTCTTTTATTTTGCTTCGCATTTGCCAGCTCAAATGAAGTTGTAAAATGCAAATGAAGTCGCGTCGACGTCGTCGCGTTAAAGTTCATGTTCGATGTGATGTCGCCATAAAGCAGGATTAAAAGGAATTTATGAACCTTTGACACGGACGCAACCCGGCGCTGCGCCCACAACGACAGCAGCGGCAACGACGACATGATAGCGGACACATGCGGGCTCCACGTTCTCTCCCCCATCTCCCCAGAAGCCCTCCTTTCGCAGCCCACATCCACATTCCACACACACATACAATGACACAGAGCACCGCTGACATTTTGTTGACCTGCAGGCATTTGAATAAAAAATGTTGCCTACTTTCTGGGGCCACATATGAAACAATTTGTGCAAACGCCGCGGCAATGGAAAAAGGGAACTAAATGCTGGAATATACCAAAAATCTCTCTGAATATACAGTTTATACATTTTTAACTTTTAACAATTTGAAAACTCTATCCACTACTGGAATCAAAGACAGTTCCATTACTCATAAATGGGTAACAAGTGGTTCAGCATATATGTAACATGTCTGCGGAACATATAAACATCCTTCCTGTGGAAGATACTTATATGATAAAGTGTTTCGACGTAAATAATATTTTCCTATATATGTAGGATATGATAATCAACGTCAAACACGTAGTGGCTGTCGGTTCTGATCGTGTCGTCTGTAAATTAGCAGAAGTCGCTCGAACGTTCGCTCGAACGTTCCAAAACGACATAACTCCGCGCGGAAATATGACGTTCCAAAACGACATAACTCCGCTGGAGATATGACGTTTCAAAACGACATATCTCCAGCGCGGAGTATGCCGATCGTTCCTATGGCAGCTATATGATATAGTGGTCCGATCTTAATATTTTTTTTTAACATAATTATTTATTTATTTTATTTAAAATCTGCCCCTTATTGGGCAATAATTAAATGATTTCTCTGGACGTTAGCAGTTATGTGTTGCGTGTATCTATGTGTATGTTTAGTGTGTTTAGCGTAGGGGAGCAGTGGAATGTGGACAACGGCGGAATTATGTCGTTAGAAAACAGAAACGAAAAAGTCTGATTTTCGTTTTTAGGGTGGCGGAGTTATGTCGCTTCAAAAAGACATAATTTCGCCATGATCAACGTCAAGCTTTATATCGTTTTCAAACGTCATATCTCCGCCGATGAAAATTAGACTTTTTCCCCAAGAGTTGTTTTCTAACGACATAATCTCGCGCAGATCAATGGCGAAGCTATGTCGACTCTTTCGAATTACTCACCTTAAATGCCCAAAAAATTCCGTACAAAAAAACATCTGAAGTTATTTATTTTTCAATATATTTATTTTGTTTCCTAACATCGTATTTTCGTTGCTTAAATATTATTTATAAAGGTTATTAAGCAAATATATGTTTTACAGCATTTGAATATTTTGATTTTATTTTATGTATTTATACTTAGCGGGTATTATCCGGCGTTGTCCAAGTAAGCTTTGTCTGGTCTTTTCCAGCTTTTTCTTTCTGTCCTCCCTTTTGTCAAGCTTTAACTGTTTTTAGCTGAAATAAATAAAATTTAATATATTAAAAAAAGGTGTCATTTAATAAGTAGACAAAACGTGATGTAATCGGACATTATTTGGCCGATGTACTCAAAAAATCATCAAAAAGGTGTACTTTACAAACGAATCGGTTTTTGGTCAACAACTTTTGTGAACCGACCGACCGATTTGTAATTTGTTTGAATGCCAGTAGGGATCCGATCGACCAATCGTTCCTATGGCAGCAATATGATATAGTGGTCCGATCTTAATAGGATTATGCAAAATCCTATATGAGGAGTATTGTAAAACTAATAAATGCCGAGTTTGCAACTTTTTGCTTTAACGTGTCAAATTGTCGCCTCAATGCTCAGAATTCTGTTGGTAGATAGTTTTAAAAGAAGAAAGCATTACACATATTCTATTTTAGAAGCTATATGTCAAGTTTGGTGACTCTCTTATTATTTACCAAAATTGCCCACAAAACATGAAATCGATATCGATTTTTATCGATTGCTTGGAAACGGAGTAAGTTATCGATTATCGGAAGCAAGCTCGATCTGCGCAGGCACTAGGAGGACCTACATCTAAAATTTCAAGTCTCTAGCTCTTATAGGTTCTGATGTCGTTTTGGAACGTCATATCTCCGCGCGGAGTTATGTCGTTTTGGAACGTCATATTTCCGCGCGGAGTTATGTTGTTATGTCGTTATTGGTATCGACTGACTCTACTTCGTTTTATTCTGTAAACGTTCGTCGACTTCTGCTAATTTACAGACGACACGATCAGAACCGACAGCCACTACGTGTTTGACGTTGATTATCATATCCTACATATATATATAAAGTACATAGCGATACTTTATAAATACAAATAATTATGTCTGATAAACGAAAAAGTTGTTCATACCAGAACCGAATTTTCAACCAATCTATTGCAGCTTTATGATATTGTGGTCCGATGCGACCAATTCCAAGTATCACGACGATAGCTTTCAGACTGAGCAACTAGTTTGCATAGAAACAGATGACGGACAGGCGGACAGGCTCGGCTGTTGATACTAATCAAGAATATTTATGTTAAGGGGTTAGAGTTGCAGCCTCGTATTCTTCACACATTTTATGACAATAGCAACAAGGGTATAGAAATAGTATAAGATCTGTATGAATTAAGAGCATTTCAACATTTAAGCTCATTGGAAAATACAAAATTTCTGTCAGAGCAGTTTCAAATGTTAACCACAAGTTCGCCAAGTTCTTTGCGGCTTGGCGGCTTTAAGGTCTACTCACATATAGGTGCAAACTGACACACAGATACACACACACACACTGCCACATAAATATCCCAACATTACCATTACCTGTCCCATTTCTCTCTCTTGGCTCCACGTGGCTGCTCCTGCTGACCGACTAAAGCGAAAATAATGAGCCCAATGTAGCTGGCTAAAGTGTAAGTGTGTTTGTGTGCTTGTGTAAGTGTAAGCTGGAAGCAGGCACGTTGGTACGCGCAGCAGCAACGCTGAGAGCAGTCGAGTTCATGTCAAGCTGTCAGTCAAGGTCGATTTCGTTTGCTGTTTGCCTCTGCCCCTGGCCAGGTGGCAGCTATGCGCCTTGTGCAACATGCCAGCACATCAGCAAAGGGTTGCAGCAGTGAGTTAAGCAGGCGCACACACACGTACACACACACATGCATCTGGCCTGGCAAGTGACTTTTTGTCACTGTCTTCGGGCTGCCAGTGCAATTTTTATGCTCGTCAGTGTGTGCCCACCGAGGCAGCAGATAAATTGTGTATACATCGCTGTATGTGTGTGCGTGCACGTGTGTAAGTTTGTGTGCATGTGTGTGCTTGGGAATTTTTTCATCATTATCAGTGTCCTTGTAACCGCTTCTGCTGCTGCCACATGCCACTTAATGCCAACGCTGCACGTTCCACTTTTGCATGTCGTCTTCGCTTTTCGCTGCGGCCTTTTGTGGCCGCCGCTGCTGCTGCTGCTGCTGCGTCGCACAATTGCATGCCACAGGCCAGCCACAGTGCCGCCGCCCCAACCACACCCTCAAATCCGAGGGCATGGCCATTATATTCAAGCATTTTTGTGTGGCATAAGTTGGCACTTTAGCGTCAGGAGGCAGCTGCTACCTGTTCAGTTGCTGTTTCAGTTACAGTTTCAGCTCTGGCCTGGCTCGGGCTTTCGTTTGCTTTAGCCCAGCTCAGGACGTGCCGCCATTTTGTTGTCCTTGGATCTGCCTCTGATACTCCAGCCCGCTGCCTTTTATTTCTCAATTGGCAATATTGGCAATCGATATGTGCGCTAATAGCTGCGTGCAAAGCCATCGCCACGTTGTTCTGCGAGTGTGTATGTGTGTGTGTGTGTGTGTGTGTGTGTGTGTGTAATGGATGTTGCACTATTCGAGCTGCGCCAGGCGAAGGCGTTGCACACGCGGCGTCTGCTGGAAAGAACAACTTTTACCAGCTTGCAAATTGAAAAATAGTTTTCCGACATTGAACAACAAAGTTGCAAATGACTATGATAAACGCAATTATTGATTAGCTTGCCATTTGTTGGCCCACCTTTAATCTAGAGCTGAGTCAGGTCGACACTTAGACCTTAATTCAGCTTAAAGAGGCTCAGTAAATTCAACAAGTAGGCCGCAGGCAACTCAAAGCTAATTTTTAACTGCAACTACACTCGCAACCACTGACTGTTAAATGCTGAAAGAAAATATTATATGAAAAGCATTTCGCAAATGGCCGTGACAATGTCAAGGATAATGAGCACAGTCGGAAATGAAATGAAATATAATAAAATGAGGGTTGACTTTGTTTGGCTCTGTCTGAACCGAAATATCTGCTCTGACCTGTTCATAAAGTTAAAATAAAATTACTTTTAAATTTAATGACATTTAAAAAATAATTTTATTTAGATGTCGATTACTTTGCTTGACTGTTTCACACAA